GAATAGTAAAGGTGATGTAAGCATGACGCGATTATTGATAAGGTACTTGAAGTTGTAACTACTAAATGGGTAATTTGATTAAGATTGGATACCAAGTCAGTGAGGTGAAACAGTTTAGACTATTACGGTATCTTTAGATCTAAGACAGCGAAAATATGTCGCTACTGGGTTGAAACAGCGACACATTTTATTGGTCTAGCAATTCGTTATGGTTACTGTGAAACTTGTGATGTCGATTTCAGTCGTTCTTCCTCACAACTTTTCTGGAGTAGAGTAAGATGTGTAAGATGCACATTTCTGTTAAATAAGTGAAACTGCACAAACGTAAATTTTAACTAAGATAGGTAAACGCTATATTAGGGAGGAGATGGCATGTTAATAATGAGAAATGGGATAGATTCTAGTTTGAAGTCGTCCATCTGTGTCAATATCGAGAAACAAATATATGGTGAAAGCCTTATACTTTCGTTTATATCCTTTATCTAAAGTTCAGTAGGTAGTATGAGAAGTTTGCACTAAAAATAAATAATTAGTGTAGTACTCAGGTAATGGGAAATATTTATTTAGAGACAATATGTGAACAATACACTGGCTACCAATCAGTGAAGATACAGGATACTTATATCAGGTGTACCAATAAGGTATATACAACGTTGGTACGTGACTATACTTAATAACCCGATAAAATTTGTCATTAATTCTAAAAAAAAATGTTAATTGTAATCAAGATCCAGATATTAGTTACCATATTGTGAATACACTCATACAACAAGTTATCTAGTTCACATTGCAATTATATTCTAATCATTGTCGTAACTGTTAAAACGATAATTTCATTTGGAAAATCTTTTCATACTTAACATTTATTTATATCAAGTTATTCAATCTCATAGGTCAATCTACCATTGCAAAATATCATGTTTTCCCCAGACGTCTTATGATGTCTTAATACCATCCGTTTGAGATGTACCAATTAACATTTTAGTCAGGGAAAGCATGATATTGTTATAATTTGAAAATAGGCTTTTAGTTCCCTTTTGGGTTGCTGCTCTACTTTGTGTCTATGTTAATATTTTATTCTTGCGTTTATTACCCATCCGGTGAGTCAGCAATTTGCAGTTTGTTCTAGCGTTTTGAAAACTATGCAAAGCATTGAAATTTGACGAACACTCATACATGTTTAACCTGGTCACATTTTCTGTGTGGCTGTTTTTCAGCGGTAGTCATCTGTTTCCGGCTGCTATAATTGCTTTCCATTCCTTTATATTGATTTAAATAAGACCACAAGACTTTTTTTGAAAAGATTCAAGTTTTTTTATTCCGTTGCATTTGATAGATATTTGTGCTTGCTCATTAGTGAAAGCTGTACAGTATCATGCTGATGTTTACAGTCTTGTGTTGTTCTTGGTAGGACAGTTGTCGGGATATTACCATGATGTTTTTCTTACTACACATACTATTATCATCTGCAATAGATACATGATAACAGCTATCATTTAGAGTACTAGTATTGTCTTTTACTGACTTTCTGACCATTTGGCACTGATAACACGATCCAGAGAAACCATTTCCTTAGCAAATGTACAGCACACGTGTTAATATTTTTCCATTCAGAAAAGTAGATATCAGTTTGTTCAAATCAATATGTGTGTCAATATCTAATGGTACATTATTTTAATTTAAAAAATCTAGAAGCATCTCATCATTTACTATAAGAATTGAATGTGAGTTTTCACAATCTGTGACAATACTGATACATATTAAAAAGATCTAATGAATGAATTCATACAATTGTTTTACTATCTTCAACTATACATGTGCTACTTAAAAACCCTTTACATCTGTCATGTCTGTGAAAAAATAAATCAGTTTAAAATAACACTCACGTAGATCCTATTCAAAGTCAGACTAACTGGACCATTTATTGTTGTTTGTCTATTTATTATGGTAATTACTATAAGTATATTTGTTAAGTTGTATTCACACGTCTTAGTTATATTGCATATAAACCTATACAAAAAATAGAGTATATAAACTGCACATAGAAAATAATCTCACACGACATATATTGAAAATGAAAATACCACTTTGTAAATTCATTTTGCGCCATTTACTTTTCTTGATTTACCTTCAACTTGAATTCTCCAGTATGCATGCTTGAATACAAAGTATTTTGCAATATTTAAACACGTCAGTAGTTCAAAGGGGATTCAGATTTATTACTTTTGCCTTTTTAGAAGAAATTCTAAATAACAAATTTGATTACTCTATGTTTCTACAGAAATATAACCGACCTAGAAACACTGGGTCTCTCAGCACTGTAATGTATTACCATATTGCATCAGCATACATGTATGTATCCATATATGCACAAATAGTATAAAACAATAACGGTTTTGTTACTGAGTCAATCGCCTGTGCCACAAAACTTCTTTTAGAACTAAACCGTAAACTTCTGAACATGTCAAATACCTGGCTAAGGAACTATTTCAACTATACAATGTATATGACATCAATACAGCTCAATGCTATTTTTAGTGGTCTTCTTAACTTTATAGACATTCAATCAGCCATACATCATTATATTTTTATGCATTATTTCTGCTTCCTAAACAATCAAATGTTGTTTTACTTTGTCACAGATTGCGCAACAATTCTAATTTGTGAATTGTTTGAATTATTCCCTCGTACTTTGATATATTTGAATAAGACAAATAGTTTTTTGTACAGACGATATTACTACAAATAGAATGGAAAGAAATTGAAAATCAAATACATTGATCACGTCATCTGATCAATATTGTTAAATTTAGTTTTATATATACTATATCCTAACCGTCTTTGTATGCAACTTATAATATTAATATCAGAGTTTCGTATAAACACGTTTAGTTAAAATTGTTGTTAATGATGATGATGGATGACTGCCTAATGTCCAGCGCCAAATTAATATGCATATTCGGGAAGTGTTGTTAATGATGGAGAAAAACCAACAAAAAATTGAGATAGCAGAAAAAAAGAGATTTACCTGTTCTTTTATGATTATTTTTGTATCAAAGTAAAAACAATCAATACCTCAAACCGTAAAGAAAACATCAATTGTGTTTTTGAATTTCTTAAAAGGAAGTGTGTAATCGGAAAACATTTATAACTGATCAACCGACCTGCTGATGCAGTTGAAACTTATGGTTAACGTACCTTCTAAATCAGATATACTGTTCACATTTGTCCTTATTTTGTTAGACAGGAGTGTACAAGTCCTTGCTAGGTATACTAAAATAATGTATTTTTATAATGAAATTCCCTTGTGCTTGTTCTAAATGTTTCAATCATGGTCAAATTAAAAACATATTATCCACAGCATCTTATAATTACCGAAACAAACTATTTTACCGTAGAATACAAAACATGTCAACACATTCCAACTTACTAGTATCTATTAAAAAGTTTGCAAACCTGCACGTGCGCTTCTTTTGAATTGAAAAGTCGTTGGAAGAGCATTTTGTTATTGTGCTTTCTAATTTTTCGTTATTTCTGTTTTGGATGTTTATATGTTTAAAATATTATGTGTATATACAACAATAATTATCAAGATTTCCTTACAAAGAAATTTAGATTTAAAACAAATCTTGGAATCCATATCATACAATCATTCAATGGTACATTATTTAAGAGTTTTGAAAATTCAAATTCTGTCTACATCAAAGGTTGTCTTGGTAATAGAAATATGGGCATGACTTTGTTTTTCCTGACAGAGTGTGAAATACTTGCTAAAGCGAGGCATCCGTTTGCTTGCACAGAATGTAGTCTATAACGATTTGAATAGGGAGATAATGTCTATTGAATTTAGAGGGCTACGAGCTCTGCACACTGAATAATCCGTCTACTAATTCTTTTCACGGTCCGCATGTGGTATGAAGCACTTATTTATGACATAAATAATTACGTTATTCCTTTCTTAAATATGCATTGAATATTAGCCACTCGACGTGTAACAAGCACCAGTAAATAAGTCGTTCACAAATAATTGTTTCCTTCTTTTCTATTGCTATTGGTAAAGTAAAAGGTACGACGAAAATCATTTCAACTCTTCTATATATAAAAACACATTTTGTTATCCACTCTTAACAAGTCTTCATGCTCGGTCGACAGATCGAATACATTTCTCATTAAACAAACTTTTTGCTAAAACAAATGCTTTAAATTAACATTCATATATATTGATAATGACCTGTCATTCTAAATCCTATTTTCAGCGAGTGCTAGCATCTCATATACCGCAGTAAACTTAGTAATAAGAAAAATACTGAAACTAGAAGATCTTTTTTTCTGGAACGGAGGTGGCGATGTTCAATTTCCCAATGGTCTAATTCCTTTTCTCAATTGTAATCAACAAGTACTATCTGTCACATCGGAAGGCAATTACGTATAGAATATTACAGGACGGACTTCATTTACCGTACCAGACTATGCTATTTATGCCAAAAACCGATGCATCAGGATTATTACGAAGAACAACACATATTTAGAAACGATTTATTGTCAATATCCCGAATTGGTTGACCAACACGACATGTTTGTGTTTTAACGAACGAGGTACATGTTTTCGCGGTCTAAAAGTACAAGGATAAAAGACTGACACAATTGTGTATTATTGTACTGAATGAGAGGTGATATTTCTTTAGCTAGATAAAGCTTAATATTTCGACGCATATTCGGTCTTGCTCCTTTTGGGCGTCATGCAATGATTCCAGTGTCTTTTCACTTTGTATGTTTATTTCTCTTAACAATTTTTTAAATATTCTGAAATGCTTTTTAATGCAGGTATGTAGGAGTTGTGATTGTTTTTTCCGTGTCTTTAGCCGAATGCAACATTATTATGTCCAAACTCTTACTATTATTTTCGTAGTTATAATTTTGAATGCACCTTATATTTTGTATTTAGAAACGTTCTTTACATTCAAATTGCGTTCTATAATCCTCCTTCCATTGCAGGTGTAACGGAATTTCCATGCACCTTTCCAAGTCCATGGATGGGCCAAACATTCTCAATTACTATTTTGGGACTTAATATTGGTAATTGGAAGTTTAACACTGATTGCCAAACAAGCGTTTTTACCACGAACCAGGGACTGTCTACAACATCAGAAACATTGCTTTGTCATCAAATAACAGAACGCTTCCTTATTGTCCGGTTTGTAACTAAGGATATTGGTTTTATTGAAATTTGTTGTTTTAAATCTAGGAAATCTTTATAAGATCAAGGAATGTATCTCCCTGATGCATAGCTTTGATTTTTGTCTCCTAATGGCTGTACATATGGATTTTTTCATTCTCTTCTGTAATAATTGTATTTTTTTTTTATTTTGGACTGTAGATACATTAATTGTCAAACTAGGAATCTAGTGCAATAACATTGGTACCTTTCATATGGAAACCGGGAATGTGTCAAAGAGACAACAACCCGTTCGCGAGCAGAAAACAGCCCAAGACCAACAACGGAGCGAGAAAATCACACTGAAAATCTTCAGCTGGCCCCTTAACATTAATGTATACTAGTTTAGCGATTGTAAATGGGTATTACATTGCATTATCAGACAAAATCCTAATTTAAGGGTGTACAGAAAAACCGAATGGAGTTAACTCATCAAAAATCATCATACTATTAGTAAAGAGACATCAAGCTTCTTTATGATCAACATTAGTGTTGGTCAAACTGCTATTTATGAAATTATTCCTGTAAATATTGTGGTTCAAATGTCTTGAATATTTTCATATTTTGTCAACAGATAAAAAAAAAATATTTTGCCAAATTTTATAAAAATTCAACAAGCCAAATATTTTCTATTCAAAGTTTTCGGTACCATTTTAACGAAAAATGTTATACCACGAACACGTATGCTTCACTTTTTTCTTTATTTGCATGTACCGCGATGTCGAGATTAATTGAAGTTAATTAGATTTTTTTTTAAGTAACTGAAATTCGAGCATATTCTTGACATTAATAGATCCACATGCTAATGGAAAAAGAAGTAACATTGAAGTGTTTTACGCGCTTTAAGTACAGCATTTCGGTAATGAAAGGTTTGTCTAAGGTATAACAATATGGAACCAGACTCAAGCTAGCGACCAATTCTAGCGACCAGTCAAGCTAGCGACCAATTCTAGCGACAACTAAAGAACACTTGTCAAAGAATCATAATGTGGTATATGGGTAAACCACAAAACCACATTATGAAACAACGTTCTGTTAAAAAGAAAATTTAGCTTCCAGTACGGTATATATTGTTTTTTAACGTTTAAATGACCAGAGATGTCCAGCATTTGAAGTGAAAGGGGGATACTACAAAATCAAAGACGTCTGTAGCTGAATGCACTGCCTAGCTTGTTTGCTAAATGTCGGCATATTGATATCAATCTGTAAAGGATTTTATATAAAATAACGTGCCAGCAATTCGAAAATAGTCAAAACATCTTAATAAAGCCTGTGTCAGAGGTATTATGTTTGATGAAATTCTGTATGTGTCTTTTATTAGGACAGTCTTTGTTAACGAACTATTTTATTCCCTTACATTCAAACTCATAATATATATTATCATATATATGTATTTATATAAATAAAAGTGCGCCCCTCCCCGGATTTCACACAATCGGGAAAGGGACTAGTTGGGAAAATAAACATACTTTGATGTCTTATTTACGTTTTCTGTGTTTTCCAAACTCTAAACCGAGATTGTAAACAGATATCAATTATTGCAAACAAAATATTAAAGAGTATCTATCCCCCAAGCACATAATGGCTATATAATAGCACATTGCGGATCAGAAATGAGAATAAAAAGTAAACAAATTGAATTAAAAAAAAAAACAAAAATATTTGTCTATGATGATTTGCTCGCACAATCATTTTCCATATTCAGTGAACCGTGAAATTTGTGTCAAAATGCTAATTCTGGCATTCAATTAAGAAATATCATATTATAATGAACATGTGTACTTTGTGTCAAGTTGATCTGACTACAACTTCATTTGAGACTAGATTCACCAATAACGTCAATATAATGCAGTATCAATGGACGGACGGACGGACGTACAAAGAAACGGATGAACGGACAAACGAACAAACAAAAAAACACAAAGACCAGATGATATTGTGCGCTTTACTGTCGTAGGCGGAGCATAAAATATGTGAGTTGACTTAAACTTGTTCCTTTGTTCAATGTATACGTTTTTCAAATAAACAAAATAAGAAATCGGCAGCCTCAAATATCCTGTATTTTCTAGAAAAGGAACTTTTAATGTCTGTTTCCTATACTAAAAATGAAAACGTACAGAAGAACAAGCTGTAAGAGTGCAATGCAAACAAAAAGTGCTGTCAATTGAAATTATACGTGCACTATTTTGTACGGCATGCATCCTTATTTAATAAAAATGTATCGAAAGGAAAAAAGACTTGATTTAAAAAAAAAACGTACACATTGAACATCGATTTTGAACCCCTACAATTCTTAGAAAGTTCTAACCCCAAAAAAAATATTTCAGTGGGCTCTGCTTTAATTTGTTACCTTTCACTTGCGCCATGTCCGGTGGCGAACTTTGCCGTACGGTGTTGGCGAGGCTTGCCAAAAGAGTGAACGGTGGACACGTAAAAAAAAATTTAACATCAAAGTTGAATCCCTTCAATTCCCAGAAGGTTTCAACCCCCAAGAAAATATTTCAGTGGGCTCTGCTCTGATTTATTACCTTTCATTTGATCTATGTCCGGTAGCGAATTTTACCGTACAGAGTTGGTGAGGCTTGCCGAAAGAGTGTACGGTGGACAAGTAATAACATCAATTTTGAACCCCTACAATTCACGTAAAAAAAATTTAACATCAACTTTGAACCCTTACAATTCCAAGAAAGTTATAAACCCCAATAAAATATTTCAGTGGGCTCTGCTCTGATTTATTACCTTTCATTTGGTGGCGAATTTTGCCGTACAGAGTTGGTGAGGCTTGCCGAAAGAGTGTACAGTTGACACGTAAAAAAAAATTAACATCAATTTTGAACCCCTACAATTCCCAAAAGGTTCTAACTCCCAAAAACATATTTCAGTGGGCTCTGCTCTGATTTATTACCTTTCATTTGAGCTATATCCGACGGCGAGCGAATTTTGCCATACAGAGTTTGTGAGGCTTGCCGAAAGAGTGTACGGTGGACACGTAAAAAAAAAATTAACATCAATTTTTAACCCCTACAATTCCCAAAAAGTTCTAACTCCCAAAAATATATTTCAGTGGGTTCTGCTCTAATCTATTACCTTTCACTTGAGCCGTGTCTGGCGGCGAATTTTGCCGTGCAGCGTAGGTGAGGCTTGACGAAAGAGTGTACGGTGGACACGTTAAAAAAAATAACATCAATTTTGAACCCCTACAATACCCCAAAGTTTCTAACCCCTTAAATATTTCAGTGGGCTCTGCTCTGATTTATTTTCTTTTATTTGAGCTATGTCCGGTGGCGAACTTTGACGTACGGTGTTGGTGAGGCTTCCCAATAGAGTGCACGGTGGACACGTAAAAAGAATTAAACATCAACTTTTGAACCCCTACAATTCCCAGAAGGTTCTAACCAAAAAAAAATATTTCAGTGGGCTCTGCTCTGATTGATTACCTTTTATTTGAGCTATGTCCGGTGGCGAATTTTGCCGTACAGAGTTGGTGAGGCTTGCCGAAAGAGTGTACGGTGGACAAGTAATAAGATCAATTTTGAACCCCTTCAATACCCAAAAGTTTCTAACCCCTAATATATTTCTGTGGGCTCTGCTCTGATTTATTTTCTTTTATCTGAGCTATGTCCGGTGGCGAACCTTCACATACGGTGTTGGCGAGGCTTCCTAATAGAGTGCACGGTGGACACGTAAAAAAAATTAAACATCAACTTTTGAACCCCTACAATTCCCAGAAGGTTCGAACCAAAAAATAAAATTTCAGTGGGCTCTGCTCTAATTGATTACCTTTCATTTGAGCTATGTCCGGTGGCGAATTTTGTCGTACAGAGTTGGTGAGGCTTGCCGAAATAGTATACGGTGGACACGTAAAAAAAATTAACATCAATTTTGAACCCCTACAATTCCCTAAAGGTTCTAACTCCCAAAAACATATTTCAGTGGGTTCTGCTCTGATTTATTACCTTTCATTTGAGCTATGTACGGTGGCGAATTTTGCCGTACGGTGTTGGCGAGGCTTGCCAAAAGAGTGAACGGTGGACACGTAAAAAAAAATTAACATCAATTTTGAACCCCTACAATTCGCAGAAGGTTCTAACCCCAAAACAATATTCCAGTGTGCTCTGCTTTGATTTTTTACCTTTCATTTGAGCTATATCCGGTGGCGAACTTTGCCGTACAGTGTTGGTGAGGCTTGCCAAAATAATGTACAGTAGACACATACAAAAAAAAAATAACATCAATTTTGAATCCCCACAATTCCCAAAAGGTTCTAACCTCCAAAATAAAATATTTCAGTGGGCTCTGCTTTGATTTGTTACCTTTTATTTGCGCCATGTCCGGTGGCGAACTTTGCCGTACGGTGTTGGCGAGGCTTGCCAAAAGAGTGAACGGTGGACACGTAAAAAAAATATTTAACATCAAAGTTGAATCCCTTCAATTCCCAGAAGGTTTCAACCCCCAAGAAAATATTTCAGTGAGCTCTGCTCTGATTTATTACCTTTCATTTGATCTATGTCCGGTGGCGAATTTTGCCGTACAGAGTTGGTGAGGCTTGCCGAAAGAGTGTACGGTGGACAAGTAATAGCATCAATTTTGAAACCCTACAATTCACGTAAAAAAAATTTAACATCAACTTTGAACCCCTACAATTCCCAGAAGGTTTCAACCCCCAAGAAAATATTTCAGTGGGCTCTGCCCTGATTTATTACAATTCATTTGAGCTATATCCGACGGCAAGCGAATTTTGTCGTACAGAGTTTGTGAGGCTTGCCGAAAGAGTGTACGGTGGACACGTAAAAAAAAAAATTAACATCAATTTTGAACCCCTACAATTCCCAAAAAGTTCTAACTCCCAAAAATATATTTCAGTGGGTTCTGCTCTAATCTATTACCTTTCACTTGAGCCGTGTCTGGCGGCGAATTTTGCCGTGCAGAGTAGGTGAGGCTTGACGAAAGAGTGTACGGTGGACACGTAAAAAAAATAA